AGATGGTCGTGACGATGGTATACAAACCATACATAAATGTTGGAGATGGTCGTGACGATGGTATACAAACCATACATAAAAGTTGGAGATGGTTGTGAGGACGGTATAGAAACCATACATAAATATTGGAGATAGTTGTGATGATGGTATACAAACCATACATAAATGTTGGAGATGGTTGTGATGATGGTATACAAACCATACATAAATGTTGGAGATGGTTGTGATGATGGTATACAAACCATACATAAATGTTGGAGATGGTTGTGATGATGGTATACAAACCATACATAAATGTGGGAGATGGTTGTGATGATGGTATACACACCATACATAAATGTGGGAGATGGTTGTGATGATGGTATACACACCATACATAAATGTGGGAGATGGTTGTGATGATGGTATACACACCATACATAAATGTGGGAGATGGTTGTGATGATGGTATACAAACCATACATAAATGTGGGAGATGGTTGTGATGATGGTATACAAACCATACATAAATGTGGGAGATGGTTGTGATGATGGTATACAAACCATACATAAATGTGGGAGATGGTTGTGATGATGGTATACACATCATACATAAATGTGGGAGATGGTTGTGATGATGGTATAAAAACCATACATAAATGTTGGAGATGGTTGTGATGATGGTCTACAAGTAACAAACCATACATAAATGTGGGAGATGGTTGTGATGATGGTATAAAAACCATACATAAATGTTGGAGATGGTTGGGATGATGGTATACAAACCATACATAAATGTGGGAGATGGTTGTGATGATGGTCTACAAGTAACAAACCATACATAAATGTGGGAGATGGTTGTGATGATGGTCTACAAGTAACAAACCATACATAAATGTTGGAGATGGTTGTGATGATGGTATACAAACCATACATAAATGTTGGAGATGGTTGTGATGATGGTATAAAAACCATACTTAAATATTGGAGATGGTTGGGATGATGGTATACAAACCATACATAAATGATGGACATGGTTGTAATGATAGACAAACCATACACACATGATGATGATGTTGGCTTCTGTCTTACAAAGAAAAGTAAACAACTGTTCTCAGCAGTATCTTATGACATTGTCACTGAGCTGACCGACAGACAAAGAGATGATTTCAATGAAGGTGTTAATAGACATAATGATTTCCCTCTCCAAGAACAGTCGGACATACCGTGAATTCACGGATGTGACCCTGCCCGCTAACTCCACAGTATATCACACGGCGGCCTCCTGTCACATTCCAGCCCAAGTAATCACGTTGATAATGAGATCTGACGACCCGACGACAATCCGATTCATGTCGGGGTTGCTCGGTCATGGGTAGATGATCACCCCTGGATCAATGACACGCCTGGATTGACTTGGTAATCAGGTGGTGATTCAGTTTCCTTCTCGCACATTTGGTTCCAACTTACAGAAAATACCAGGCCGACAGGGGACGTGAATAGTCCGGCATCAGAGGGGAGATGTTTGTTGTCTGCAAGTACACCCGTGCTCAACTGGTTATCTCCCGTAGTGTCATCGATCGTTTTTGTCGGTCGGCTTGAACAGATAACCCTTGCGCATCTATGTTAAGGAAGGGAGGGGGTGGGAAAGAGGAGGAGAAAACGGGAGGAAAAGGGGGGGGGGGTGAATTGCGTCCTTCTACTGCCCAGATTGACTTATCAGACCAGCCATTATGTCACTCAGCGTTTACAAGGAAATTTCAGAACGTAATGCCCCAAATTTTTTGTGTCCTCGTGAACCGTTTGTATGAAATTCATTCACTGATTACTGATTTAAGAATCGACATCATAACACACCAGGCATACCCATAGATGCTCCGTCTCTCGCAGCAAATGTCTTAAGGTGTAGATGCGCCCGGCTCTCTAGCGTAGTTGTCTAAACCGGATTGCGCGGAGACCGGGTGTCGAACTCCTTGTGGTCCGGGTTCACTCTCGGGGGTAGGGAAAAAAGCCACATTTCTCCCAGATTTACGGTATTTACAATGGAATCAGGGCCGAAAGGTTGCGATATCCATAATACCGAGCATAAGGGTTAACAACTCATGGCTTCTGGATACTAAAACTAACAAACAAGGTGTAGATGCTTACTGTTCCCGTAGCACACTGATTACACAAATGTCGTTCTCTTGCTTTCATTCGCCGGGTCCACTCCTAATTCCTCGTTCGCATATTCCTGCAAATGTTATTTCCTCTAATCTGTTGTCTTCTGTCAACATTAGTTCTTTAATGGTCTTCAGAATATCTCCCTTGTCCAGTACAGAAAAGATATCAAACCGAACGAAAAGTTTACCAGCAAGCTTCACAAAATCACGAAGATAAACAGTACGTTGTCCAGAACGAGTGTTTCCTTAGCTGTCGCTTTTGTAGCCAGAAAATCCGCTCTTTTTCCTGCATGTTCCGGACATTACACACACACGCAGAGTGAGAGAGAGAGAGAGAGAGAGAGAGAGAGAGAGAGAGAGAGAGAGAGAGAGAGAGAGAGAGAGAGAGACAGACAGACAGACAGACAGACAGACAGAGGAGAGAGAGTGTGTGTGTATTGATCGGCACTCACAGAAAAAAGTACAAAGATAGGACACATTATAAAGTAAAAAGTTAAGATTCCGTCGGCGCATCGGGTATATGGGAAGAGCGTGCCATATTTTTACAGACCAATCAGCACTGATAAACGTTGTCCAGTACGAGTGTTTCTGTAGCTGACGCTTTTGTAGCCAGAAAATCCGCTCTTTTTCCTGCATGTTCCGGACATAGGACACACTATACAGCATGCAAATCTTGGCACCCTAAAAAAGATGTCTTCATTGGCCATGTCTATTGTACAGCTTGAAATCCACAACTGTGGAACACAGACAGAATTCATCTCAGACCATTTAAATGGCACCATAGGTTACAGACATTTACATCAACCAAGCATCGGTCGAATAACAGACATAGCAACAATTTACAAACACAAGCAGGTCTATTTCACTGTTTGTTTAATCAAACAATACAGTTGTTTGATATACTTGCAGTGGCCGTTACGGAGAAATAATTCATATTACTATTATTTAGATGTGGCTTATCTTTTTCAACACGTAGCCATGAAAATAAGAAAGGTCAGAAGAAGAAAATCACAGTACAAACTAAGACAGAAATTGTGGAAGCAATGAGAAAGGAGTCGGGCAAACTGATGTCTGCAAGCTGTTTAACTTTTCCAAGTTCACCATAGCTTGATCCCCCCCCCTCCCCCTCTTGCCCCCTCTTTTTGCAGTAGATTACAAGCTGCACAAAAAGGGGAGAGGGGGAGGAAAAGGGTGCGCCATAGCTACACATTCTGAAGAAAGCAGATTTTTACAAGGAACTGGATGTGGCCAAATGAGTATCTGACGTATCGACTAGAAGAAATAACCTTATGATAGAACGAACACTTTACTGCTCGTCGAGGTTAATGACAGTTAACTGAAATCAGATAGTGTATCTGAAAATAGGATCTGTTTAAAATTCCAAACTATTTACTAATATCTGCTGGAATCTTCTTCTTCTTCACCAGCTGTAAACTCCAGAGGAAAGTTCTGGTTGTTTGTCAACTTCTGGACTGCAGTCCTGTTCCAGAACCTGAGTGTTGCGTGTGCATCCGTTTTACAGATCTGACTCATTGGTATGCAGACTGCTGGTTCCTCGCCTCTCAGGCAGATGCACTCCGACTTAAAAGGAAGCTCCCAATTAGTTGACTCTTACGACATGCTTTTGGGTTGGCAGTGGGTCTATTCTTGTTTTCCCTATAATAGGGCCGCGGAACCCACACGGGTATCTGCTGGAGTAAAATGCCTAATAGAATGTTCATTATTAAGGAGGAAATGGTTTTGACAGGAGACAAGCCAATGAAAGACAAATTAGCCTTGATATGCCAGTGCCATTGGTAGTCTGAAACAAAACCTCTGTTGGTTTATCACTGTGAAAATCCTGGCCTTTAAACAAGTTAACAGACACAAGTTCAACTTTATGTGGGAAAGTAAAAGTGGAGCGTGGGTAGTCTGGCAGTTCTTCTGAGAACGGATCAATTGATTTTCCGTAAGATGTAATGAGAAATTGGATTTCGAAATACAAACTTTTCGAGATACGAACCACAGCGAGGAATGAATTACGTTCGTTAATCGGGGCGCCGCTGTTTGCCACTCGGTTGACCTCTCGAACTTAGTGAAAGAAAAGCTCGCTGCATGTTTATGCCACTCCTCCAGAAACTGTAACATGTAAAAGGTAGCAGTTACGAGTACTACAGTGCTAGCTGTGTATGCATATTCTCAACAGCGAAGGGACGAGGAGGGAAACGTCACACGAGACCCGCTCCAGTGTATCCATTACCTGCTAACGTTTACACATGCGAACTGATCACGCCTCGCCACTGTTGTGTGTGAGTCAGCCCTATGTTACTTAACGTTAGTCAATCTGATGTTACTGGATGTTAGTGTAGGATTGTTTGATATCACTTCATGTCACCTAGTACGATGTCACGTCACGTCACATAGTACGATGTCACGTCACGTCACATAACATGACGTCACGTCACCCAACTTGACCTCACGTCCAGTACGGCGTTACATCACGTCTCCCACATAATATCACATCCTGTTTCCCAACACGGTGTCACGTATCCCAACATGACGTAACGTCCCTTCCCAACGGCATCACGTTCCGTCAGCCAGCATGATGTCACTTCATGTCACACGACATGACGTCACGACACATTCCCAAACAAGACGGATGAAATCTTTTCATAAAGATTGTTAAAATGTGTTGTCACCTGGTCCAGTAATACAAGTTCATAAAGTCGAAGGGGATGGAGCCAGGTGGCAGGCATCGGTACAAATGGGAGGAATAACATCGGTAGTTGGACGAAAAGCAGTCTCTGAGATTGTAGAACTGGGACGAGAGACATTGTGAAGACGGCAACTGATTGACTGATGTGTTGTCTGTTTCCACAGAGTCCAGTAGCACCAGCAACAGATCCTCGCCCTGGAAGTTCTGGCGCCGCCTGTCCACCAGAAGTCGCCATGACAACAAGTATCTGAGCTCCAAAGAAAGGGCAGAACTGGCTCTCCTGGACAGATTTGACCAATCAAAGGTAAGCTCGCCAGTCACATGTACAGCTGGTCTGTGTCTTTTGTCCTACAAGGGCGTCAGCCAGCAGTTTTGTGTGACTATTTTTGTGTGTGAGTAAACCTGTCTTGAAAGGAGAAACTCCCAATAGTGGCTGCTTCATGTCACTTCCTCGACCCACAGTAGTTTACAGCTGCCTGTTGGGGGACACAGGAGTGGGAGAATTAATCAAGTACATCTTTGTTTATAACTGGTTTGGTGTATCATTTTCTGGACACCAGTCAGATTCCCCAGACAACAGTGTCACATTATGCTTCAGAGACGCGTGGGAATCACAGCCCACGGCCATGGCGTGTGGGATCGTCAAGACCAGTAGGAGATAAGAAACGTTTTCTACAGAAGTCAATGGGATTTACGTACTATGGTTGTCATCATGTGTATCTGAGTGTTATTTCTCAACTGCACAGCTAGTCACCTAGGTTGTGACAGTTATCTAACTTTTTTGATCAGACTAGCCATGATGTCATTTTATTGTCTGAAATATTTGTTATGAGATACAGCAACGCTTTTTCGTCCGTTGAGGGGAATGACGCAAATTTGCTATTTTCGCTCACTTATAATGTAAAAGTTTCATTGAAATGAGTTCTGAACCATGCAATGGAGTACATGCACATAAGTTTAGACTTCCCTCAGGGTGTATTCGACTATTTACCCATTCAAAACAACCCTTAGACGGATCAGGAGAACGCTAACAAGCAAGCATGCTGGTGCCTGCAGGAAGCGACTGAAGAGAGACTTAGCTTAAAGTATGTTTGCGTTCTCTATTGGAACTGTATAGAGAACTGTGCTTCGTTTAAAAAAACGAGATGCACACCAGAAGACTTGTTAATCAACATAAACATGGTACTATTAGCCATCGGACGTTGGGGTTCATACTGAGGGGAGGATCTGAGCACCTATGGACTAGGGCTGTACCGAATATTCGCTTCGTATTCGCTTCGGGGCCGAATAGTGGACCCAATAACTATTCAGTATTCGGCCGAATAGTTGCGGTCGGGCCGAATACGAATAGTGGTTACCTTACTCCCGTTTCTGCATACACTGTGATGGACTGAAATAACTCTCTCATTAACACAATAGTTGCTGTTGCCTAAGTCTGTCGTAGAGGGGAAACTGCGACGAGGTTGTGTGGTACAAACTGCAAAAAATGCCAACAGCAGTGTGTGTTCGTGTGAGTGTGTGTCTGTGTGAGAGAGAGAGAGAGAGAGAGAGAGATAGGGAGAGAGAGAGAGAGATCATGCATTTTTCGTTCTTTCAGGGTCTCTTCGCCCAAATCAAATTTGAAGATATTGCTAACGAGAATATGAAGGTGCGTTTAAATTACATCGAACAAATGGCCGAGCGAACGAGGGTTTTGAAAGAGGCGGGAGCCCGAAGACAACTAATCACAGACATCAGAAAAAGGCAGTCATCATTTTTCAGCCATGTTATGAGAAGAGGGAAAATGAAACATTTGGTGACCACTGGAAAGATCTGTGGAAGGAGGGATAGAGGAAGACAACGAGAGAAGATTCTTGACAATCTTGTCGCATGGCATGGATGTGTGTCAGCGCACAAACTGATACATGCTGCAGGAGATAACAGATTGTGGAGAGGCATGATCGCCCATGCCAGTCGGCAAGGCACCTGATAATGATGATACACTATTCGTATTCGTATTTGGCCGAATAGTTGGTCCCACTATTCGTATTCGGCCGAATAGTGAAAATCACTATTCGGTACGGCCCTACTATGGACATGTCCGGAGTGCAATGATGATAACCCAACCAACTAACTAACTATCTTCACAGCACTCTGGACACATCCATAGGCGCTCAGATTCCCCTCTCAACATATTCATCAGCGTTGTGCGGTTAATAATGCCAGTCCTATGTTGGTTAACAAGATTTTGTGTGCGTCTGGTGCACTTCTCATGCTTGGCTGTGCCGATCTTTACTCCCAATTTGCATATTCTTTGCAGTGATGTGGACATGTTGCTTCCAAAATCCTCAGAATGTCCTATCTCTCTAAGGGCAATGACAATATCCGCGTGATCCATGGACTGGCCATCTTCAATTAATGCAGCACCTGCCAGTCTGTCAGCTCTTTCATGACCAACAACGCCTGCATGCCCTGGGACGAATATCAAGGTTACTGCACACACAGGAGAGTTTTGCAATGACTCAAACCACTGTCTGCATAAACAGCCTGCCTTGACCCGCTGGATCATGCTAAAAGAGTCACTCAGCATACACACGCAGGAACATTCCTGTGATTCTAGCCACATGAAAGCTTGTGTCACTGCCATCATCATGCTGCTGTTGGTCATGGAGAAGTCACCACTGGCTTCCTGAACTGTTCTACCTGAAGAGTGAGCTGTAAATGCCCATGCACTCTTATGACCTTGAATATTGAAATATTTGTATTGCCTGTTTGTCTGTTCACATTTCCTCTTGCTGTAGTTGATCTGTGGTAGTCCTGTTATGACTGTATGCTATTTGTTGTTGAAAGTATAATTACATCTTTTCTTGTTGCCTTGAAGTTTTTCCACAGCTGGCAAGATGGTGGCTTTTTTTGTCGACACTCATTCAGGCATTGTGGATTCTGGGCTTTTTTCTGTTGACAGTCATCCATTCATTTAGTTTTTTGGTCTTCTTTCCGTTGACCAGTACAGGTTTATGTTTGTCACTATAGGATTTACAGAAATTGATTGCATAAATGAACTCTGTTTTGTCTGGTTTCAGACTTCAGAGATCCCAGTGACCCCTACCTCGCCATTGCCCTCATCCGGACCCCTGCCAGACGTGGTGGAGAGAGCTCCAGTTATAGCCAGGTTTAACAGCAACTCTGTGCCACCGCCCAAACCTCCCCGACTCTTCTTGATCAGGTGAGTGCTTCTGTCCTGTATAACTGGCACATGTCTCAGAATGCATGTGTTTGTGTTAAGGGGCATGATGTTGTTCACAGAACAAGTTTTTTGACTCAAAATGAGCAAGGCTTCGTATTAAAACACTCTTTTAACCATTTCAGAACACCATCCAGTGTGACCAGACATTCCAGAGACAACAACAATGAAACAGACCCCATGTACATCAACAGTGACAGAGCTGCCGAGTTGAAAGCTGAAAGACACGACCAGGGCACTGACAACCCCAGATGTAGCAGTCTTCAGTCATTCAGTGATGTTGTCAGTGGTCTCAGGGATGTTGAGCTTGGTGACAGTAACAACCTGCTGGAGCAGTTCTCAAACACCAACACAGATCTGGTGGATGACAGAACCACCAGTGCAACTCCTGTTGTTAAATTCCATCAACATTCAGTTGGAGCTGCAGCAACCACCTCAAGCACAAAAAACATTCCACTGTTGAGTCAGTTCAACACTGTAGCCAGGAAAGCCAAGACCAAAACACCAGAGCTGAACAGGAGATGGGCTGGAAGGTCATTCAAACGTGCAGGGGACAAGGGAGAAGTCACCAGACAGAAACACATCATGAACAGTGTCTCTGAACTTCTCCGCCAGCGACTCGACCCCTACCCACTGTTGGATCAGCTCAAACGTTTGGGTATTCTAAACAATATTGATGTGCAGTCCTTCCTGGGCCATCATGACAGGAAATCTGTGTGTGAAGGTCTGGTGGGTCTAGTAGGAGATGCACCCTCTGATGTGCTCAATATGTTCTGTGATGTCTTGTCCTCCACAGGCAATTGTACAGAAATTTGGGAGGTGAGTCTGCTCCTGGCATGGTATTCACTGTTTTATCATTTCATCTTATCATTGTATCCACTTCTTGATCTGTGGCTCCTGGCATTGTATTTTTTTTTTCAATCTTTAACCCTTGGCCATAGTCTCCAGTGTTTTATTTTTACAAACATTGTATTCACTGTTTTTTGTTTAGCTCTTTGCGTTTATTCACTTTAAAAAAAAAGTACGTCTACTTTAATTAAACAAAAAAATTCCTAAACCTGAATGATGACAGCAGTTAACATTTACATAGTGTAATCAGCACCTCCTTGCCTGATTGCTAGGAACACCTACATAGTGTAATCACCACCTGTTGTCTGATTGCTAGGACTTGGTTGGTGTTCTGAAAAAACTAAAAAAAGCTGCCCACTGTTGGTTATTTAAAGTATACACATTTCAAATGTGGTGTGGGGTCAGAATTCATGGTGAATGTGTATTAGTGTGTCTTTGATATCTACTTCACCATGAGTTTGTTTTCATCATCTAAATTGCTGAGGTGTATTCTCATCAATGTGTAATTCTCATCGATGTGTAGTTCTCACGAATAAGCAGTTCTCAGGAATGTGTAGTTCTCATGCATGTGCAGTTCTCATGAATGTATAGTTCTCATGTACGTGTAGTTCTCATGTATGTACAGTTCTCCTGAATGTATATCAGCGTGTCTTGTATATCTGCACAGATTTTGGAGGTGATGAGGGAGATGGACAGAATACTTCATGAGCTGGAGTGCAACAGCAGCAGTGAAAATAGCATCACCAATTATGAAAAGTCCTTCAGCTTTGAGGTTGGCTACCTGGCCCCGGATTACTCCTTGAAGCCACTGGTTGAGCTGGAAAGGGTTCGAGTCAGCGGTGATAAACGACTCAGCAAGGCATCATCAAGGAACTCTGCTCACTCACTGCTGGAAGTAGGAAGTGCCGACCCCAACAAAAACTGTGACCCCGGCATCTTCCCAGGTCTGATTATGATGAGCATCTTTGTGACCTGTCATAATCTGTCAGGTCTGAGAGCTAGAGCTCTAGCTAATGTCATCACCAAGCACAATTGTGTCTCTGAACTTCACATCGGCAAGACTCAGCTATGTGGGGAGGACATCTGTGTCATCGTCAAGGCCTTGGAAAACAATAGGACAGTGCATCATCTGGATCTCCGCTTGAACAACATTGGTCACGCAGGAGCCCTGGCTGTGGCCGAACTACTCCAGAAAACCAGGTCTCTGCATGTTCTGAACCTGTCCTCCAGTAACATGGACCTCCACAGTTTAAGAAGCATCACCTTGGCAGTTGCTAGTAACCGGTCATTGACCGACCTGGACCTCAGCTTCCTGGACATCACTGACCAGTGCTGTGATTATTTAAGAGACATGCTGAAGGCCAACAGCAGCCTGCAGAAGTTGCGGCTGAGGAGCAACTTGTTCACCTGGTCAGGGTGCTACCTACTTGCTGAAGGTCTTGTTCGCAACCTGAGCCTCCGGGTTTTAGATTTGAGCCGGAATACCATTGGAGACCATGGAGTCCAGGTTAGTCTCTCTCTAAGATTTCAGAAATGATTCTTCTTCCCCACTATCAGTGATTCTTCTCCCCCACAATAAGTGATCCTTCTCCCACACATTAAGTGATTCTTCATCCCCATACTGATGGATTATTCTCCCCACACATTGAGTGATTCTTCTCCTCAACATTGAATGATCTCTCCCACCCCCCTCCCCTCCCAACCCACATTCTTCTCCTTCATATTGAAGGGTTCTTCCTCACATGCATAGTTATTTTTTCCCCACACTGAATGATTGTTCTCCCTCACATTGACTCGTCTGTATCTGTCTCTGTGTATGTGTCTATTTCATAATGTCTGTCTGCGTGTCTGTGTCTTTGTCTCTGTGTGTTGTGTATGTCTATATGTGTGTCTGTGTCTCTGTCTGTGGCTGTGTGTGTGGCTGTGTTTTTGTGTCTGTGTTTGTATGTGTCCATTTGTACAGCTGCGTGTGTTTATGTGCATGTCTGTGTGCGTGTATGTGTCTGGGTATCTGGATGTGTGGCTGCATGTATGTCTTTGAGTGTGTGTGTTTGTAAAAGTGTGTCTGTGTGTATGACTGGGTGTGTATGAGTGTGTGTGTATGTATGTGTGTGTGTATGTCTGTGTTTGTATGTTTGTGTGTATGTATGTATGTGCGTTTATGTATGTCTGTATGTACATATCTATGTAGGTATGTATGCATGTGGATGTGTGTGTATGTAAATGAGTGCATAAGTGTGTGTGTGTGTAAGTGAGTTAGTGGGTTTGCGTGTGTATGTAGGTGTGTATTTGCTCATGTGAGAGTGCACATGCATTTTACCACCCGTGCTTTTGTGTTTTTGCTTGATATTCATAATATGCATATTATTATTATATGAACATAACATGCTTTATTGAGAAACTACAGCTGCTGTATGAAAGATGGGTGTTTGGAAGGGTGTAGGATGGGCCTGCGTGCCTTATTTGTGACCCTTTGAAAATAAAGTTCATTTATTAGTTCTTCTCCTCTGACAGTGAATTGTTCTTAAAACAATTATTCTTAAAATTATTCTTAACCTCTACACTGAAAGATCATTTAATCTACAGTAAATGCTTCATTCCTCCCTCAGTGATTGATTCTTCTTCCCTAAAATCACTAGTTTTAGAAACTACAGAGAGGATTCACCTAATCCTTTGGCTGAACAGTTTACCTGTAAGGCATTGGCCAGTATCTAAATCTTCATATGCTGGCCAATCATTTCTGCTACATATGTTGCCTTTATTTTTGTTCTAATTATTCCCCACCAGGATTGCAGCCTAAAATATTAAAATCTGTTGACTCAAAGAGTCACTGTTCAGTTGCCAACTACAAGGAGTGAATGCCAGAAACCATGTTCAACTATATAACACAGTTAAATTGGGGCCCTCGACAGTCTGCTGACTAATGTGGAGGGGCTGCTATGTGTCGAGTGACCTGACATCTACATCTGAAACCTTGATCTTGCAGACAAGTTTCTATTCTCATTGACAGTCATTTTTGCATGCTCCAACACAGGCTCTAGCCAAGTTTCTGCCAGAGTCGTGTGTAAATGAAGTCTGTCTAGAGAACTGTGGAATCACAGCAGCTGGGTGTGATGCTCTGGCTGAGCTGGTGACTCACTGCAAGAAGTTGAAACATTTGAACATCAGTAACAACCATTTAACAGACCTAGGGATATTCAAACTGGCCACAGCTTTGGAGAGGACATCATCTTTAGAGGTAACTGCCATTAATGACAATACATAATGACTGTTTATAGATCATTATTTGTTCAGTTTTTCTCATTTTGAGTTATAGATCATTATTTGTTCCGTTTTTCTCATTTTGAGTTATAAATCATTATTTGTTCCATTTTTCTCAGTTTGAGTTATAGATCATTATTTGTTCAGTTTTTCTCATTTTGAGTTATAGATCATTATTTGTTCCGTTTTTCTCATTTTGAGTTATAAATCATTATTTGTTCCATTTTTCTCAGTTTGAGTTATAGATCATTATTTGTTCAGTTTTTCTCATTTTGAGTTATAGATCATTATTTGTTCCGTTTTTCTCATTTTGAGTTATAAATCATTATTTGTTCCATTTTTCTCAGTTTGAGTTATAGATCATTATTTGTTCCATTTTTCTCATTTTGAGTTATAAATCATTATTTGTTCAGTTTTTCTCATTTTGAGTTATAGATCATTATTTGTTCCGTTTTTCTCATTTTGAGTTATAAATCATTATTTGTTCCATTTGTCTCAGTTTGAGTTATAGATCATTATTTGTTCCATTTTTCTCATTTTGAGTTATAAATCATTATTTGTTCCGTTTTTCTCAGTTTGAGTTATAGATCATTATTTGTTCAGTTTTTCTCAGTTTGAGTTATAGATCATTATTTGTTCCGTTTTTCTCAGTTTGAGTTATAGATCATTATTTGTTCCGTTTTTCTCAGTTTGAGTTATAGATCATTATTTGTTCCGTTTTTCTCAGTTTGAGTTCTGTCCTGCACCACAGACCTTTCCTCTGCTCTTGATTCACCAGAATCTGTTGAGTTCTATTTCTGAGCTCCACTTTAGTCATGGTATCATACCATTTAATTGCTTCTGTTTTGTGCAAACACAGGTTGATGAATGTTTATAATCAAATGTCTGACTGTATAGCAGACAGGCACAGATGTCTGCTACCATTGGTCCTACTGTGTGGAGTGTCAGGACCAGATAGAGAAACCATGGTTGAAGTGTTTTTTCTAATACTGCTGTGCTAGGTGTCCCAGCGATTCAAAGTTAAAGGTGTCTAATGCCCTGAAGGAGATTGCGCCCATTTACATGGTCACTGTAGTCCCGGAAATGTGGGCTGCTCCCGCAGTCAAAGTTCAAATGTCCGCTTCCATTGACCCTACTAAGTGTTGGGACCAAACAGAAAAGCCATTCCTGAATTATACTTTTCTGATACTGTCATGCTAGGTATCTCCATGCAACAATGTTAAAGGTGTCTAACCTGCTGCAAGAGAGCTTTGCCCAATTGTGTGGTCATCAAAATCTCAGGGTGCAGCCCATAATGAGTGGAAAGCTCAACAAACAGATGCAAGGTTAAGCAGTCATGTACAGAACGTGAAGATTCCTGAAGTGATTCCTCGACCAGAATGTCATATGTTGGCTCTGCATTTGTGCAAGTTGGATGGCGGGGAATTCCCATGATCTGCCCCAGCCGTCCGCTGTGGCCCGACTTGTCTACTCAAGGTTGCCATGCATGGGTTCTCCAGACGCAACACCTGTAGAAGAAAAGGCACAAAGAGGACAACACCCAAATGAGGCTACTTCATGTCCTATAAAACCAGTCGGGAAGGTAACTCAGTGAACAAATGCCAGATATGGTTGGGTGTGTCTGCCGAAAAGGTGTAAATATCACAGCTATGGTGTAATTAAGCACAACCCAAATAGGTCACTTAGACGAATGTTTGTAGCTTACCAGTAATTGTTTTCATTGTTCTTTATGTTTCTGCTTCATAACAGCAGTACTGGTTTCACATCAGAGCTCAAAATTCCAATGCTCTTGATGTCTGTAATTCTACAAAGTCTGTCTCAGTTTCCCATTTTTGTCTGCCTAAGTGTATGCTGCCTAAAAATGTGTAAAACTCTTTCTTCAAGTGTGGTCATTCTTTGTTTTTTATGACCTGCAGAACCTAGGTCTGAACATGTATAGTCATTCCCTGTTATTTTATGACCTGCAGAACCTAGGTCTGAACATGTATGGTAATTCCCTGTTATTTTATGACTTGCAAAACCTAGGTCTGAACACATGTGGTCATTACCTGTTATTTTATGACCTGCAGAATCTAGGTGTGAACATGTATGGTCATTCCCTGTTATTTTATGACCTGCAGAATCTAGGTCTGAACATGTATGGTCATTCCCTGTTATTTTGTGACATGCAGAACCTAAGTCTAAACATCTGTGGTCATTACCTGTTATTTTAAACCACCAAAACCTAGACCTGACCATGTATAGTCATTACCTGTTAATTTATGACCTACAGAACATAAACATATGTGGTCATTACCTGTTATTTTATTACCTGCAGAGCATAAACATCTGGTCATTCCCTGTTATTTTATGACCTACAGAACCTAGGTCTGAACATCTGTGAGGTGACCAACATTGGCTTCTCCAAACTGCTGGATGTTCTGGAGAAGAATACATCAATAGTTCACCTGAAGCTCTGCTACAACCAGCTGGGGAAAGAGCAGTGCAACCCTGGAGAGATCTCAGAAAACCTCAGGTGAGTCTCATCATATATCCACATGCTTGCTTTCCTAAGATATGGCTGCTTTTGATTGGCACCTTTTAGCACCTTTCCGACTTTCCAGACAATAGTGTTAAATTGCACTATGAGGAGACATGAGACTCACAGCCCACGGCGATGGCGAGTGTGACTAGCAAGACCTACTCGTGTCCAGAGAAAAGTCTTCCACAATGATGGCATGGGATTTCAGGACCATTGTTGTCAACATTTGTGTTTAATCCGTTTCTTTTCAGACACTCAGATCTCATCATTTCTGCAATCATTTCATCCTTCACTCTCATTCCCTTCCTGATATGCCCTTTCCACACAACCCGGTCCATGGCATTTAAATGGCTGCTTTAAAAGCAGTTATACTGTATTTGTTGATCAGACTAAAGTTATATATTGATTTTTGTTCTTTTTATTATTTTATCAACATGTTTGTGCCATAAAAATAGAGAAGTCAGAGCTGTAGTTCAGTACACACTTTTGCATCACCTTGGAAACACTGAATGAATGAATGAATCAAGAATTAACATCACTGCATTCAAGGCATTCCCACATGTGCTTCACTCCCTTCCTCAGCAGCCATTAGATGATGCCACCTCACTTCTCTTTAGTGGGTAGATAACCATCCACACCCTCTGCTCACTCCCCACTGAATCATTCTCATCAGTTGTGTATGCTGCATCTGTTCTGTTGTGTATGCTGCATCTGTTCTGTTGTGTATGCTGCATCTGTTCTGTTGTGTATGCTGCATCTGTTCTGTTGTGTATGCTGCATCTGTTCTGTTGTGTATGCTGCATCTGTTCTGTTGTGTATGCTGAATCTATTCTGTTGTGTATGCTGCATCTAGTCTGTTGTGTATGCTGAATCTAGTCTGTTGTGTATGCTGCATCTATTCTGTTATGTATGCTGCATCTATTCTGTTGTGTATGCTGCATCGATTCTGTTGTGTATGCTGCATCTATTCTGTTGTGTATGCTGCATCTATTCTGTTGTGTATGCTGCATCTATTCTGTTGTGTATGCTGCATCTATTCTGTTGTGTATGCTGCATCTATTCTGTTGTGTATGCTGCATCTAGTCTGTTGTGTATGCTGCATCTATTCTGTTGTGTATGCTGCATCTATTCTGTTGTGTATGCTGCATCTATTCTGTTGCGTATGCTGCATCTATTCTGTTGTGTATGCTGCATCTAGTCTGTTGTATATGCTGCATCTAGTCTGTTGTGTATGCTGCATCTAGTCTGTTGTGTATGCTGCATCTAGTCTGTTGTGTTTGCTGCATCTATTCTGTTGTGTATGCTGCATCTATTCTGTTGTGTATGCTGCATCTAGTCTGTTGTGTATGCTGCATCTATTCTGTTGTGTATGCTGAATCTATTCTGTTGTGTATGCTGCATCTAGTCTGTTGTGTATGCTGCATTTATTCTGTTGTGTATGCCACATCTGTTATGTTGTGTGTGCCGCATCTGTTATGTTGTGTATGCCGCATCTGGTATGTTGTGTATGCCGCATCTGGTATGTTGTGTATACTGCATCTGTTATGTTGTGTATACTGCATCTGTTCTGTTGTGTTTGCTGCATCTGTTCTGTTGTGTATGCTGCATCTATTCTGTTGTGTATGCTGCATCTAGTCTGATGTGTATGCTGCATCTATTCTGTTGTGTATACTGCATCTATTCTGTTGTGTATACTGCATCTATTCTGTTGTGTATGCTGCATCTATTCTGTTGTGTATACTGCATCTGTTCTGTTGTGTATACTGCATCTGTTCTGTTGTGTATGCTTCATCTATTCTGTTGTGTATACTGCATCTGTTTTGTTGTGTATACTGCATCTACTCTGTTGTGTATGCTTCATCTATTCTGTTGTGTATACTGCATCTATTCTGTTGTGTATACTGCATCTGTTCTGTTGTGTATACTGCATCTGTTCTGTTGTGTATGCTGCATCTATTCTGTTGTGTATACTGCATCTGTTCTGTTGTGTATGCTGCATCTATTCTGTTGTGTATGCTGCATCTATTCTGTTGTTTATGCTGCATCTATTCTGTTGTGTATGCTGCATCCAGTCTGTTGTGTATGCTGCATCCTATTCTGTTGCACTATTCACTTGATCACAGAAAGCATTTACCACATCTGCTTTTTTGTTTTAAATGTAAATAGCTTACTGCCGAGACAGAATATGGAAACATCAAAACTACTAAGTGCTTAGATTGATGTCAGACTATGACAAGAAATCTCATTACAAAATACAGAGATATAAATAAAGATCACATTTAAAAAAAAAGGATTAAGAATGACAGAATTATCAACATGTTTAGAGTTAGCAGCCTTGCTTATCTGCTAGGTTTGTTTTGTTATGGTTACCAAGTCTATGACATGGTCACTGTCATATTATTGTGCTAATGTTCATAACATAGAGCCCAAATTCTAAGCCTCCACTTGATTCTGTCCTGTGCAGATTGTTTCCGTATCATGGACGGAATCCAGTCCCTCACCCCTGGCCTTTCATCTTAGAATTTCTCTTGGGCGTCTTTGTTTCCCATTTCAGTGCTTGTCTGATGATATATCACCATCTTGTTTTAAATAATTGTTGGTACCACTGGCTGTCCAGACATTTAGCTCATTTCTCCACCTTTATTGAATTTATCTTATTTAATGTTTACTGGTTTTCTCAAGCATGTGTTTTCAAATGCATTCAGTTTTCGTTCCATTCTGATAAGTTGCATAATGGTTTTTTTTTATCTAAAGCTGTCTGTATGATATCTTTTGTCTAATTTTTTTCTGATCATGTAGTCCCATGTAAATATGAGATGCATGAACACACCTGAACATATTTAAAACATTTAAATTTCTACATTTTCAGATATCGTCTTCGTATTGTTACATCTTCTAGACCGAAGCTGCGCATTCTTCTCTGGGGTAACTCGTTTGATGATTAGGTCAGAAGGAAAACTCCTACTGTGAGGTGTCCTGTGCGATGTCCTGTGCAATGAGGTGCTGCTCAGTTCTCATTCACTGCCACCACCACCACTATAACATCTGAATCATGGGACTTCTGTGCCTGAGAATTGAGGTTCAACCCTGGTTTATTCATTCTGTGCTTGAGAACTGAGGTTCAACCCTGGTTTATTCATTCTGTGCTTGAGAACTGAGGTTCAACACTGGTTTATTCATTCTGTGCCTGAGGATTGAGGTTCAACACTGGTTAATTCATTCTGTGCCACTGGTTGTCAACACTGGTGGTGGACAGATCGGTTGAGAAGAATCAACAAGCTATGTAGACCAGCTACCCCACATGTGGCCAGATCATGGAGCATAGAAAACTGGCAGGTGTTATGGGTCTGCAGCTCCAAAAAGCTAACTCAATTCACCTGAACTGGACAAAAACAAAAACAATAACAAAGATGGAAAACATACTATGAATATCTCAGGGAAGAACTTTGCAATTGTTCTTGTGAAAACTGAAAGGACATTGCTGCTAATCATAATCACATCTATGCTGGCATATACTTTGAGCATTTACAAACTGGGTTAGCTACACAGTCTAGTTATTCACAAATTGGACCAGCTAAACACAGAGAGCCTTGCTGTTCAAAAATTGTCCAGCTACACATAGAGAGGCTTGCTGTTCACAAACTGGACAGCTACACACAGAGAGCCTTGTTGTTCACAATTTGGGCAGCTACACACAGAGAGAGCCTTGTTGTTCACAATTTAGGCAGCTACACACAGACAGTCCTGCTGTTCACAAACTGGGCAGCTACACACAAAGAGCCTTGTTGTTCACAATTTGGGCAGCTACACACAGAGAGAGCCTTGTTGTTCATAATTTAGGCAGCTACACACAGACAGTCCTGCTGTTCACAAACTGGGCAGCTACACACAGATAGTCTTGCTGTTCACAAACTGGGCAGCTACACACAGAGAGCCTTGTTGTTCACAAATTGGGTAGCTACACACAGATACAGGCTTGCTGTTCAAAAATTTGGTAGCTAAACACAAAGAGGCTTGCTGTTGAGAAATTGGGTAGCTTAACACAGAGAGGCTTGCTGTTCACAAATTGGGCTAGCTACACACAGAGAGGCTTGCTGTTCACAAATTGGGCAGAGAGACTTGCTGTTCACAAATTGGGCAGCTACACACAGAGACAGGCTTGCTGTTCACAAATTGGGCAGCTACACACAGAGACAGGCTTGCTGTTCACAAATTGAGCTAGCTACACACAGAAACAGGCTTGCTGTTCACAGATTGGGCTAGCTACACACAGAGACAGGCTTGCTGTTCACAGATTGGGCTAGCTACACATAGAGACAGGCTTGCTGTTCACAAATTGGGCAGCTACACACAGAGAGGCTTGATGTTCACAAACTGGGCTAGCTACACACAGAGAGGCTTGATGTTCACAAACTGGGCAGTTATACAGAGACAGGCTTGCTTTTCACAAACTGGGCCTGCACACTCAGTAAAACAGTAAAAAAACCTGTGTGGGTTCCAGGACTCTATGAGAGAGGGGGAGGGTGCATAGATCTACTGCCCTCTAGCCAGCTGGTCATAAACGATGACTATTTCAGTATTTGATGAAATTAAATGTGTTGGGCCAAAAGATGCAGAAACTGCTGCCTAGCTGTAAATCACAACACAACCTGTCATCCACCCATCTGAGCATGAATGCAGAAAAAGAACTATTTAAAGAGACAAGAAAAGTAAAGTACCCTTTTCCATGCCTTTAGACGTACAAGGCATATAGGGCTAGACCTATATTTTATAGACCAATCAGCACCAGATGGGTGATGTGGTCAGCATCACGCCGGTCGCTTTTACTTCCTGGGACTGCACCCGGTACCCACTCAAGGCTGGGTCGACCTGGGAACCAAGGTCAGACAAGAAAAAGCTACATGTTTTACCATGGCTATTGTTCAGTTTAGGATCTGCTCATTGGTAGACAGTGAGTTCACATGGAGAGTTGATTTTGGAATAGTGTATCCAGCTAGCATAATTAGTTGTACCCACATGTGTACATAATGTCATCATTGCCTGTGATTTCTTTGTAAGGAATGTCAGGAGAGAGTTTCTGTAATTGGTGTCAGGATGTTCATTCATTTCGAATGATCATAATGTTTGAAAGTCAAAACAATGTTGTAAATAAAAAATAAAAATAAAAAGTCAGGCATAAATAACATGTTTCATTATGGACGTGTAAATTTTGTAGCACCTGACAGAATGTGATAAATGTGCTAGTTAATAAACTGTACAGTATATTGTTTGTGTCCTCCTTGTAAAAATATTGTAAATTATCACAAGTTTTGTTGTTTAAGTTCTCCATCTTGTCAGGGTACAAGGGCCTATCAGATTTACAGAGCTCAAGAGAGAGCTCTACCAATGGTAGCTTTGCTAACTGGAGGCTCTCCTGTAGCTATCAGATCAAGGGAGACATAACCCTGCTGCTTTGGAGAAAGACTGGAGGACATTCACAGACTGGGAAATACACATCAAAACAACAAAAATGTTGATTGAAATCTGTGGTACTGAGTCAAAGCCTGGACAAAACAGTGCAATCTAACTCGCTTCAAAAGAATGTCTTGTTTAAAAAAAAAAAATATGTTTCTTATTCAGCCATAAAATTTCTGCGCCATCTTCTCCTCTTTCCACTCTCTCCGTTACCATCGGAATTAGAACTCTTCGCTTGCTGCTGGAGATGGGGACTGAGCACTTATGGGACTGTACCGAGTGCTGTGATGCCGATTCTTAATTCAACATTTAACATTCAGTCATAAAATGACAACTGACACAGTGAAGGAGTAGCTACGATTTCATATTTATTTTGATATTAGCTGGGTGTGAATGCAGTTATTGGCAAATGTTCTGATAAAATAAGATATCCACAGGCTGGAAATATAATCTCTCAGAAGTATTTGCTAACAGCCTGGGCAACATTTCAACCCCTGCCCTAAGAACATTTCAACCTGTGCCCTGGCAACATTTCAACCCCTGCCCTGGCAACACTTTAACCCCTGTGCTGTGGACATTTCAACCACATGCCCTGGCAATATCTCAACTCTTGCCCTAGAAACATTTCAACTCCTGCCCTTGGAACATTTCAAACTCCTGCCTTTGGAACATTTCAACTCCTGCCCTTGGAACATTTCAAACTCCTGCCCTTGGAACATTTCAACTCCTGCCCTGGGAACATTTCAACTCCTGCCCCGGGAACATTTCAACTCCTGCCCTGGGAACATTTCAAACTCCTACCTTGGCAACTTCAACTCCTGCCCTGGCAACACCTCAGTCCCTGCCATGTAAACATTTCAACCCATGCCCTGAAAACATTTTAACCCCTGCCCTGAAAACATTTTAACCCCTGATCTGGAAACATTTCAACTCCTGCCCTGGCAACATTTCAACCCCTGCCCTGGCAACATTTCAACCCCTGCCCTGGCAACATTTCAACCCCAGCCCTGGCAACATTTCAACCCCTGCCCTGGAAACATTTCAACCCCTTCCATGGCAACATTTCAACCCCTTCCATGGCAACATTTCAACCCCTTCCATGGCAACATTTCAACTCCAGCCCTGGCAACATTTCAACCCCTGCCCTGGCAACATTTTTACTCCTGCCCTGGAAACATTTCAACCCCTTCCATGGCAACATTTCAACCACTTCCATGGCAACATTTCAACTCCAGCCCTGAAAAAATTTCAACCCCTGCCCTGGAAACATTTCAACTCTTAACAGAATATTACCAACATGTAAATTTTGTGATCTGAGAAGAAGGTAAGGGGACACCACTTCATACGCTCCTCAGGAATAAGGTTAGTCAGCACAAAAAAAGATTTATGCTTAACTAACTTGTTCTGAGAAACTTCATCCCAGTCTTGAGACTGCATGGTATGAGCTACACACGAGGGGTTCTTGTGAATTGGGTGTGAACAACAAGTCAATGTGGGAGGACACAAAAGATGCTACACGGATACTGCCCAGTAACACAAACATTTTATGTATGTATCTGGTTTCTAAATCAAAGCAATATGTGATGTGTGATTTCATTTATTACAATTCATGTGATTATTGCTGCTCATTGTGAAAAAGTTATCCTGTAAATATGATACTGTATATATAACCAAATGACACTTGTTGTTACTACTTCAAACACGCACCATCTAAATGTGCTCAAAATGTGAACAAGTCATTCTACAATTTTATATGTTACCATTTTTAGTGTATTATTGTCATGACCAAAATCTTTTTTCCTTAGAAAAAAAATTATTTGTACTCACCACAGTGTATCTGTAAAAGATACTGGTACACACAACACTGTATCTGTAAAAGATACAGTACACACAACAGTGTATCTGTAAAAGATACTGGTACATACCACAGTGTATCTGTAAAAGATACTGGTACACACCACAGTGTGTCTGTAAAAGATACAGGTACACACCACAGTGTATCTGTAAAGGATATTGGTACACACCACAGTGTATCTGTAAGATAACTGTACATACCACAGTATATCTGTAAAAGATACAGGTACACACCACAATGCATCTGTAATAGATACTGGTAGTAACCCCAATGTATCTGTAAAAGATACAGTACACACCACAATGTATCTGTAAAAGATACTGGTACACACCACAGTGTATCTGTAAAAGATACTGGTACATACCACAGTGTATCAGTAAAAGATACCGATACACACCACAGTGTAGCTGTAAAATATACTTGTACACACCACAGTGTATCTGTAAAAGATACCCGTACAGGCCTGCAGGTGAGAGGCCCAAAGGACGGTTATAACTTTAGGGATTAAACAGGGTATCTTTTTTTGTGTGGCCTTGTTGGCTTGCCTTCCAAAATAAGATTTTGTAATCTCAGGATAGTCAAACGTTTAGTTACCTGTCCAGAGGGAAGGAGCTACATGTAAGTTATCCAGAAGTA